GGAGGGGCAGAATCGGGTTTTGTCCCATATGGCTCTAAACAAACAGCTCAATAGGCACACACTGTAGACACTAATTAGAAGAACACAGACTAAAACAGCAATGTACAGACGAATCAGATGATTAAACATGATCTTAAAATATATTTTATATATATTTTAATTTATTTTTTGCATTTTATTGTAATCATTATTTTAATACTTTCTGCTGACACTAGGTGGGGCTGTGCCCTAATGACCAGTCGTCACTGGAGCTAGAATACTTTTTCTCTCACAGGTTTACCACAAGGTGGGTACATTTTATATCCTGCTTTTTTACACATACTCTCTCCAGTACAGGTTAGCTCTGAGTGTTAGCGATGCTTGCTTATGTAAACAAAGACCATATTACGTCCAAAACACGTCGCACGTTGTTTCCGATACAGCAACGTTTCTGATAGGGCCGTGGGTGTAAAGCCAGCCCACATTTCAGTAATGTCGTCATGACCGCAGAAAATGGGAAAAGAGAGAGAGTTGTATTTTCGGACACTTTTTGAGTCTCCTGACACATCGGGGATACATATTTATGTACAAGACATACAAAAGTGAATTTTGCATGATAGGAGAACTTTAACAGTATCATTCTAACAATATTATGCACAGTTTAACACTGTCATTTTTGTGAAACTCCTCAGACAATAGCACAGCAGAAGATGTCTGTGGATCACTCTTCATGAAGAAGACCCTGCTATGTGGTTACCTTTCTTGTTTGTTTGTAGCCTTTATTTAACCAGGTGAAAGCCCCTTGAGATCAAAAGATCTCTTTTTCAAGGGTGACCTGCAGGACATTAGTTACACATGTAACATAAAAACAACAGAACAACAATAAGGATGACATACAACATAATGTACAGGGTACAGTTTACAAACTCTATTTACAGAGACAGGTACCATGAGTATCAAACAGCATGTCACCCAGCTGAGTTTTAAAATGATGCAGGGGAACCAAAGTGCTCAGTTTTAAACATGTTTGCAGACTGTTCCAATTTAGTGGAGCTGCACAACTAAAAGCTTTCTTCCATAAGACAGTCCTAGCACTTGGCACATTTAATAAAACAACATCATGAGATCTCAGGCAATATGTACTTTCAATTCGTCGAGAGATCAGAGAGCAGATATAAAAAGGTAGTTTACCCAACATGGCTTTGTAAATGAACCAATGACTGAGCCTCCGTACAGTTAGTGAAGGCAGACCTGCCTTGGCATACAGGGTACAGTGATGAGTAAGTGCTTTACAGTTAGTAACAAATCTCAGTGCGCTGTGATAGACGGCATCTAACTTTTCCAGGCAATGGGCAGGTGCATTCATATAGATCAAATCACCATAGTCCAGCACAGGTAAAAAGGTCACAGTGACTAGCCTTTTCCTGGCTTCAAAAGAGAAACAGGACTTGTTTCTGAAAAAGAAACCTAGTCTAACCCTCAGCTTTTTAAGCAGGTTATTGACATGAAGTTTAAAAGTAAGACAATCATCAAGCCAGATACCTAGGTATTTATAACTGGTAACCACTTCAAGTACTTGTCCTTGCATAGTAACAATATCCAAAACAGGCTCTGGTGTCTTTTTAGCTTTTGAAAATAGCATTAACTTGGTTTTTATCAACATTTAAAATAAGCTTAAATTCAGCAAGCTGAGTCTGAATAATGTTAAAAATTAGGGCCGGGACTCGATTAAAAAAATTAATCTAATTAATTAGAGGCTTTGTAATTAATTAATCGAAATTAATCGCATTTTTAATCACATATAAATATTTGACCTAAGAACAGTGAGAAGCAATTTTTTTTCACATGGATTTTAGTATACCATTAGGCGCATTCACACCGCAGTACTTTTCCCACAAAGGTTCATGAGAATTTAGTTCATGAGAACTCTTTGAACCTGGGGGTGGATTAGGCAGATGAAGCCGCTGACGTCACTTCTTCTTCTTCTGCTTTGGGTTTACTGGCAGGCCGCAAACCACTTCACGGCGTATACTGTCGCCCAAAGTCCCCGGCCGGAAGTCCCCGGAGTTGGGGACTGGCTTCAGTAGAAGCTGCTGGGAGTCCCAGCAGCTTCTACTGAAGCCTTCTGAGTAAATCGCCAGAACGCCGACACCTCCTCATCTCCACCGCTCCCATGTTTTATTTTGTGTTGCCATAAGTTAGTCTCTCTGCGTTTCTGCGCTGGGCTAATGCTAATAATGCTAATGCGAGGATAATAAAATGGCGGCTTCACCAAACTTTTTGGGAGTTTTACGGGGCGTGGTTTGCAATCCGCCCAGCCAATCAGAAATATAGCTCTTTTCTCACAAGAGAGCCGCACGAAAGTCCCTGCTCTCTAGCAGCTCTCTGCTCTCTAGCAGGGACTTTCGTGGGGGTAAAAAGGTTCTCATGAACTAATTTTAGTACCGGCTCTTTTTGGTGTGAACGCGATAAAAGAGGCTAACGTCCACGCTTCCACGCTAGCTGCTATATGTTTTGCATTGAGGGCATACTTGAGGCTTGATGTGCTGCGGTGATATGCGAATTCCTTTTTGCATAATTTGCACACAACCGTGCTCTTATCGACGCTTCCATCCGTCCGTTTTTTAAAACAACATTTCCCACTGTTGTTCACTGTGGTTTGTTGTTGTCTGAAGTCATGAACGTTAGTTGGTGCTCCAGTATAATCGGTACGCCTGAAACTCATCCAGTGAGAAACGTTCCGCGGTGCAAAAATAAGTGCGATTAAAATGCGTTAATTTTTTTAACGCGTTAATTTTTGTGTAATTAATTCATCTTAATTAACGCGTTAAAGTCCCGGCCCTATTAAAAACATAAGAAGACTTTCTCTGTTGCTCATTTTAATTGCGGGTTTCCTCAAGGATCTAATTCTACCTCCTGATCCTCAGTTGTTTTCTATGTGTGTGCTTCCTCACAGCTAGATCTTTCACAGCCACCATGCCCCTGACCATTGTTTTGTAGATGACAAACAGTTATATGTTACTCTCCAGCCCATTAACACTTAATCCTGTTGCCTAGCTCAACGACATCAAAGCTATTAAAAATAAACAATGATTAACTGACATCATAGCTCGTTGTCCAATAATCTCTACAGAATGAAGGTAAAAAGCTTGGTTCCTTCATTAAGCATATTCATTTGGAACCCCTGTGCGCCTGTGCTTTGTCTTAGATCTGAGGATGCTATACTCGTTGAAGATAGAAGAAGCATAACCCTGAAACACAGAAAATGACTTGCATTAATTATTATGGTAATGTAGATTGCTTCAGGCTATACCATGCATTGTTGCAGGCAACAGCACGATTTAGGTCATTGTGTGTGTGTGTGTGTGTGTGTGTGTGTGTGTGTGTGTTTGTGCATGTGCACGTTTGTTCCTAATAAATGCAATTTTTCTTTCTTTCACTTTGTGTATCGTCAAATTTAGTCAACTCCTGTTTTCCCAGGGTTTCATGCGCTAAACACATTTTTGTTCTTGTTTTTTAAACATTTATTTGTATTTCTTGATTATGTCATATGTTAATCACCTTGTTGCATGCTAATGTCATACATATTCTAGTAGTAGTAGTAGTAGTAGTAGTAGTAGTAGTAGTAGTATTATTACTATCAGTTTGATGTCACAATAACATACAAAATGTACTACGCAGATTGTTAGACATTTTAGGTCATAAGTCTGAGTGTTAAAATGAAGTTAATTTGTTAACCTATAGGTTCAGGAGCATGGCCACGCCTCAACCCCACCTCTAATCACAGCCAACTCTATATATATCCGGCCAAACATCCGGCAACCGTCTGTCTCTATTCTCTCAACCCACCCTCCCTCTCCCTTCTACTCATACGGTTCCCATTCTACCTCATACTCAGCCAAACTCTTTCATCCCTCCACCCATCGACCCCCTTCAACGATACACCCCTCAATCCTTACATCCCGTCATCCAGACAAACCTTCATCCCAACATCTCTACATCCCTTCATCCCTTAATCCCTCCCTTCCCTCATCCCTACATCCCGTCATCTCTACATCCCTTCATCCCTCCCTTCCCTCATCCCTACATCCCGTCATCTAGACATCCTTTCATCCTTTCATCTCTACATCCCTTCATCCCTCCCTTCCCTCATCCCTACATCCCGTCATCGAGACATCCCTTCATCTCAACATCTCTACATCCCTTCATCCCTCCCTTCCCTCATCCCTACATCCCGTCATCGAGACATCCCTTCATCTCAACATCTCTACATCCTTCATCCCTCCCTTCCCTCATCCCTACATCCCGTCATCGAGACATCTCTTCCCTCATCCCAACATCCCTTCTTCCCAACATCCCTCCCTTCCCTCATCCCTACATCCCTTCATCCCTTCTTCCCTTCATCCCTCCCTCCCTTCCCTACATCCCTTCATCCCAACATCCCAACATTAATTCTTCCCTTCATCCCTCCCTCCCTTCCCTCATCCCTCATCCCTACATCCCGTCATCGAGACATCCCTTCCCTCATCCCAACATCCCTTCATCCCTACTTCCCTTCATCCCTCCCTCCCTTCCCTCATCCCTCATCCCTACATCCCTTCTTCCCTTCATCCCTCCCTCCCTCCCTTCCCTCATCCCTTCATCCCTCATCCCTCATCCCTACATCCCTTCTTCCCTTCATCCTTCCCTCATCCCTTCATCCCTCATCCCTTCATCCCTCATCCCTACATCCCTTCTTCCCTTCATCCCTCCCTTCCCTCATCCCTTCATCCCTCATCCCGACATCCCTTCATCCCTCATCCCAACATCCCTTCATCCCAACATCCCTTCTTCCCTCCATCCCTTCATCCCTCATCCCTCATCCCTACATCCCCTTCATCCCTCATCCCTACATCCCTTCATCCCTCATCCCTTCATCCCTCATCCCTTCATCCCAACATCCCTCATCCCTTCATCCCTCATCCCTCTGCCTGTCACCATTCATATTTAACTTGTGTATATTTTCTAATCTCTAATCCTAGGAATCGTCTGGGGGCCCGTAATCAGCCCAAGCAGATCATGCCGGAGATGGTACCCCCACTCTGAGTCTCCCTCTGCACGAACCACAGCACGTCCCGCCAGACCAGAACATCTAATCATCCATATCATATGAATTGATATGGAGGGCCATATCAATTCATTGTTACTTCTTGCAATAAACCTACAAACATCACACTGTTGTGGCGTGGTCCCTGCTTGTGAAATGGCTTTTAAAATGAAATGTGTGTTTTATTATCTAAATACAAAAAATCTCTTGAATCTTATTTTTTGTCTGATTTGGCTAAAGCTTCTAAGTGAATATTTATTATGTGTTTCTTTGTAAATATGCATATCGGTATGTTATGTGTTTTTCTGTGATTAAAAAGTTACAGAGACATAGACAAGGCCTATGAAATCCATGCCACCCTATCTACCCCCTCAGACACAATTAGACCTGACACCAAAGATAAGATAAGATAAGATGAACCTTTAATAATCCCCGAGGGGAAATTCAGTTGTACAAAGCAGCAACAGGGTAAGCGTGAAAAAACAGGACAGCAAAGATTCACACAGATTAATAAAATCAAAAATAAATAAAATCAAGAAAAAATTAAAATGATAATAATAATAAAAGACTATAAAATAGGAGATGAGTAAAAATAAGAGTAAAATAACTGTAAAATAACTGTCAGCATATGTACATATTTGGTCATCTAAGTCAGTGGTTCCCAACCTTTTTTGTCTTGTGTACCCTCTGAGCCTTTTGTCATACCATGAGTACCCCCTCACTCATACGTGCTGATGATCCTTCACAAGTAGAACGTAACTGATTATTGAATGAAAATAACTTTATTTCCTCTCCTTAATTTGAACATCTAATTCTCAGGCATTTTCTTAATTTTAACTTAAATCACTCAATACAAATAAATAAAAATGGATATGTTGCCTAGAAAATAAATAATATAATCAAATAAATACATATGAAATCAAAATAATCAACTTATCTTTGCTATATATATATATCTTGTAACATTTAGGCTTAAACCTGGAGCCCCTTTGAATAAGTCCCCTTTAAACAGGCATTTAAACTTTAATTCAGGAACAAAACACTTAGCAAAATAATATCCAGAATCAGTATAGGCCTAGCAGTTTCTTTTCACTAGTCATGTGAGCTTTAATGAGACACTTGAGCTTGCTTGTCTTTCATAAGCTTTGATAGTTCTGGAGGCAGTGTGGAAACAGCTGTGACCAGGCTGGTCTCCACATCCTGTCTGTTCCTCTGCTTGGTTTTGATGTGTGTTAAAGCTGAGAAGGTCACCTCACACAAATAAGTAGAACCAAACGGCAAAAGTTCAATCAGTGCATGTTTTCCCAGTTCAGGATATTCCTTCTCCATCACACCACAACTCAGTCAATGACTTCTCAGCATATGCCATCCTCTGATAATTCCATCAGAGGCTCCTGCAGCATTGCTGGAAGGCTGTTGCTGCTCTCACTCACAATGAATGGGTTCCTCACCCAATCCAGTCTTTCTGACTTATTTTCAATGTCCTGAAAATAATGGCTGAAATCAGTGCAGAGTTTGGACAGGTGTGCTTGCACCAGTTTGACCACTGGACCCCTGGCAACAGCAGTGGTGGCAAGATGGGCATTGAGTAGTGGGAAACAGCTCACGTCTCCCTCATCACATTTCCTCTCCCATAGTTTAAGCTTTTTTGTGAATCCTTGAACTTTGTCATACAATTTCAGGATATGTGACTCCTTGCCCTGAAGTGATAGGTTGAGCTCGATGCGTTTGGTAAACACATCAGCAAGATATGCCAGGCGCGCCACCCACTTGTCATCCTCAAGCTGCACAGCAAGAGGATGCAGATGCTCCGTCAAGAACACAAAAACTTCATTGCGAAGTTCATAAAGTCTCAGTAGCGTTTTCCCACGAGACAGCCAGCGCACGTCTGTGTGAAGCAATAGCTGATCGTGCTCTGTGCCGTTCTCATGACAAAGAGTTTCAAACAGCCTGTGATTCAATGGCCGAGATTGGATGAAATGTATCATCTTCACAGCATCATCCATAACAGCACTTACATCAGGGCTCATCCTCTTGCTAGCTAATGCTTCACGATGAATAATACAATGCATCCATTTAATGTCGGGATTTACCTTTCTTACGTGCCCAAAAAGTCCCTTTACGCGCCCCGTCATCGCAGCTGCTCCATCAGTACAGATGTGGCTGCAGGTTTTCCACTGCGGATCATGTTCTCTGAAGAAGCTGTCGATAACCTGGAACAATTGTTCCCCAGTTGTCTTTCCTGGCAGCGTTTTGCAAAATAAAATATGCTCGTTTATGTCCGACGCATCTTTGTAACGCACGAAGGACAGGAGCTGCGCTTCTCCACTCACATCTGTCATTTCATCCAGCTGCAAAGCGAACTGACCGGCTAGTTTTATTTTGTTCACCACTTATCCAATTATATTAACAGACATATCATTGATCCGACGGGATACGGTGTTATTCGACAGGGGAACTTTCTTGAGTGCTTCGGCTGCTTTCTTGTCTATCATAATTTCGGCCAACGCAGTCGCTGCAGGGAGAATGAGCTCCTCAACAATAGAGTGAGGTTTTTTTTATTTAGCCACAAGCAGGGACACGGCGTAAGATGCCTCGAGTGCTTTCATTGACACATTCGTGGCTTTCATCATTACTGTCTGGCTCGACTTAAATTCCGACAGCTTTCGTCTGTAAAATTCTTCACTTTTATCGACACTTCCCGAGTGTTTGGTGCTCTGGTGTCTCTGTAAATGCGCTGGCTTCATCGCACTATTAGCCAGGACTTCACCGCAAAAGAAGCACTGAGGCTGCGGTGGGTCCGCAGAAGTAGAAATGAATCCAAATAATATATATGTTTCACTGTACTGCCTTGGTTTCAGTTTGGCCTCTTTCTTACGTTTCTCGGCGGGCTCCTCTGAACCCTGGCCTGAATCCACAGCAAGCGGACGTTTCAGCCATTTATCCATAGCGCAGACCTACCAGTATTTTTCTGGCTGCAGGTAAGCAGCTGTTTTCATTGTGGGATGTTGGCGCGGTTGTGCGTGCCACAGACTATTGTCTCCCTAGGGAAACAAATAGCGCACTATCATTTTTGACGGGATTATTTTTTTTTTTACTTGTCACCTTGGAATTCCACGTATTCTCGTTCCCTCGCGTACCACTAGGGGTACGCGTACCCCCGGTTGGGAAACACTGATCTAAGTTATAAAGTACGGAATAAGTTAAAGTGACAAGTGAAAAGTGAAAATGGACATCTGTACACATAGTGACATCTATCTACCTTTTTGGTCTACTACTAATAATATGTTAGCATTGGTTGTGGAAACAGTGTATATTTATGTCCAGTGATTTAATTTTATTTATTTTTCATCATTAACCCCTTATTGTGCAGCCTGATGGCTACAGGCACAAAGGACTCTCCGAGGCGCTTGGTGCGTTGTCGTGGAGGGATGAGTCTGTGGCTGAACGTACTCCTCATCTTCACTAGCTCTGCGTGGAGTGGGTGGGAGGGGTTCTCTAGGATGCTGTCGAGCTTCCTCCTCGTCCTCCCCTCTGCCACCTCCTCCAGATTGTCCTGTTGTACTCCAACTACAGAGCTAGCCTTCCTCACGAGCTTGTTCAGCCTGCCAGTGTCCCTAGTGTTTGTGTTTCCACCCCAGCACACCACGGCAAAGAAGAGCACACTGGCCACCACAGACTGGTAGCACATCTGCAGCAGCCTCGTGCACACGTTGAATGACCTGAGCCTCCTCAGGAAGAACAGCTTGCTCTGTCCCTTCCTGAAGAGAGCATCAGTGTTATCTGTCCAGTCCAGTTTATTGTTTAAGTGCACTCCCAGGAACTTGTAGCTGGTTTCCAAACCTTTTTGTCATTGCCCATCTTGAACTAAAGCAACAAATCATTGTGTTACAGCAGTGTTAACACCTGCAGTAAGGTAGAACATTTAACACGTTTAAAACCTCCCAGGATCATTACGTTTCTCAGCCCCATGTGAACTCATTGAGAGAGATAATAACTGTAATATTTACAAGGTGTCTTCTGACAGTGACTATCCCAAGGAGCAGCAAGTGGTTTGAAATACTGTTTCATATGTGGTGTTTAATTTAATCTACTTGTGATTTTAGTCTCACCATTTGACCCCAGTGCATGCTGGTCGCCCACAGGGACTGGCCAGTCAGGAAGCAGGAGGGCCACAGGCACTTCCTGTCAGCAATCAGCGCCATTCAGGTGTGATGGATGGATATGACACACACACACACACACACACACACACACCACACACACACACACACACACACACACACACACACACACACACACACACACACACACACACACACACACACACACACACACACACACACACACACACACACACACACACACACACACACACACACACACACACACACACTCAGAGTTATTGAAGTTAAACAGTGCTTGGTGCGACATTGCAATCCATTACACTAAACTAGGAGTGTGGGTGCCAAAGCCTGACATTGCACAGACCCAGTGTGTGTGTAAAAGTGTGTATTCAATATTTTGTCAGTTCACTTTACTTGCGCTCCACGGTTATCAGTCTGATCCTGGGTCTCCTTCTGTCACTCTGTCCTCTCCCCGTTCGTCTCTTTTCTCTCGGAAAGTGTACAACATATTATATTTTGATCAATTGAAGAGACAACTGATAACTAGTTTTTAAACTGACAAAAAATATTCATGTCTGTACGGTTACTGTGAAGCCACCAGCAGTAGCCAGTTAGCTTAGCCTAGCATGAAAACTAACGCGGTGCTCGCTTCAAAAGTTGAGCAATGTTCAACTTTTGAAGCTTCAACGGAGGCGTCAGCCAATCAAATCATATGCCAGTACAAGCTCTAGCCAATCAAACCGCGTGCTTGTGTGTCTGGGGCGGGAGATTCATGTGATTGGTTGTTGGTCGAGTTTCAGACACGCCCGTCGGCAAACTTCAACGCACACCGCCGTGTGGACGCTGCGTAAAGCTCATAAAATCCAGGATGAACACATTATAGTGAGTGTAATGTGTAAAAAAAACCCGCTTTAAAAAGCAATGTAAAACATAACCTTGTTTTTTTAAATTATATTTCAAATGTAGCTACGGTTTTAAAGGTGGAGATGAAAGTGGTGT